CTCTGGATCCGGTTCTTTAAACCAGAGCCACTCTGGATCCGGTTCTTTAAACCAGAGCCACTCTGGATCCGGTTCTGTAAACCAGAGCTGCTCTGGATCCGGTTCTTTAAACCAGAGCCACTCTGGATCCGGTTCTTTAAACCAGAGCCACTCTGGATCCGGTTCTTTAAACCAGAGCTGCTCTGGATCCAGTTTGTTAACCCGAATAACAAACCGCTGCAGATCTGGATCCGGTTTAATGATCCGGACCACTCCACCTGACCGACGACAGCGTGAAAAAGATTCGTTCATCTCCTGAAAACCCAAAGAATCAGAGGAACACAAAGTGATGGCGTCGCTGCACCGAGCCGTTTACAAGCAAGCTTAGATAATAATAATTATAATAATTATAATAATTATAATAACAATAAGATACCACAGACGTTATCATGGAGGATAATATTTCACCTGCAGCTCTCAGCTGATTGGTTGGATCAACGCAGCTGCTCGGGGTCAAACCAGCCAATCCTGAATCATTTATTTACAGTCGACGTCGACGTCAGAAGAATAAAAAACATTCACACAAAATCAAACACTTGTCGTCATCTTTAGCACCAGTGTATCAGAGAAAACTCTCGCTACGCTAAATGTACAAAGTTGCATAGTGTACATGTGATCCGGAGACAACGGAACCGGGTCTAAACCTCAGACGGCTTCAGACCTGTGGGAACACGAGGAGACCAGGTCCTGGATCTTCTTGTGGACCAGGACCCAAAAACTCAAACATCTGGTTTTTATCAGTCAGGAGGTGATGGTTCTCACCAGACTGAAGCTGAACGTCATCATCTCTGAGTCTAATGATCCACAGTGCTGGTCCAGATCTGCTGGTCAGATCTGCCGGTCCAGATCTGCTGCTCCAGATCTGCCGGTCCAGATCTGCCAGTTCCTTGAGGCTTTCCTCCCAGACTTTCCTGTAATCTTTTAAAGAGGTCTGAAGTCCACAGAAAACCTCAGAAAGAGGAACTGTGGATCAGAGCCACTTTAAAGGTAAGTCTGGATCCCTGAAGACCCTGAAGACCTCAGGAACTGGATCAGGAGTTCTGGGACTGGATTAAACTTTATAAACTGCAGTGGGATCAGCTGATCTGTTCCGGTTCTGCAGATCAGGCTCAGACATGAGAACTGTGGTGGAACCCTGTCACTTCCTGTCACTTCCTGTCCCCACAGGATCCACAGCTTGTACGAACACAAACCCAGGTCCAGGTCTGCAGACTGAAACCGTCTCTGCAGGTTTTTCTTCTTCTCTGCTTCTCAGACGTTTGAGCTGCAGCAAAGAGGGAAAACCTGGACGTAGAGCCGGTCCTGAGCTGCTGAGGTTCTGAGGAGGAGTGTGATGGAGGTCACGGGATGAAGACGGTCTGGTTTCTGCGAGGAGGAGGAGTGAGACCGTGTCCCTGCTGCTGGTGTGGGAGCGTAGCTTTGGGAGGAGGATCAGAGGCTTCCTTCATGAGTTCTGACATCATGCTGAGGAGGACTTCCTGTGTGGCTGCAGTCACGTCGGGTTTGTGGTTCTGGTTCTGGTTCTGTCCGAGGTTCCAACACCTCCGCCCGGCGCCGTCACGCCGCTGAGTCACAAAAAACAAGCTGCTCTCCAACAAAGAATCTGAGAACAAATAAAAACCGTTTGGTACAGAGTGGGCGTGTTAGAGGGGAGTGACTGAGTGGGCGGGGCAGACGGAGGAGGTGGGCGGGGCTAAGGCTGCTCCAGCGACGGCGTGTTGAAGCAGCCCTCGGGTAACGTGTTCTTGATGTCGTTGAGGTTGGCGATGTCGGCGCGGATGTCGCGGATCTGCCGGTCGTAGTCGTTGATCATGTCCTCCTGCGTGCGCGCCACGTCGTTCAGCTCCGCCAACTTCCTGTCCAGCTCGCTGTCCTTCATCTTGTCCTTGGCCCGCTTCAGGGACTCGTCGATCTGGTTCAGCTTGCTCAGGTCCACCTTGTCGATGTTTCCTGTGGAGACAGCGAACGGCGGTGAGTGGGCGGGAACAGGTGGCGCCTGGCAGGCGAGCTGAGGGGAGAACTCACCCAGCTGCTCCATCAGGGTGGAGATGAGCTTCAGGACCGTCTTCACCGTGCTCTTAGCCTTGCGGGCGTTGTCCTCCGCCTCCTTGGCGCTGTCGGACGCCTGCAGGTTCAAACAAACTTTATTAACAAGGAGACAGAGACGTCCCCTCAGAGACCTGAGGACGTCCTCGTACCATCGCCGCCATCATCATGTCACTGTCAGCTTCCTCCTTCTTCCTCCTCAGCTCCTGCTCAGCGGCGCTCAGCTGCTCCATCATGTCGTCCACGTCTCCGTCCAGCTTGTTGGTGTCCTGCAGCGCCTGCTCCGCCTCCTCTTTGGTCTTGGCGGAGCCCTGAGAGGAAAGACGGGTTTTAGTGATGATGATGAAGGACAGGGTTAGGAAGCACCAGGCGGCGCCTCGAGCAGGAACTGAATCTAATGTGCAGAATTTAAAATTAAAAGCATCGGTTTGAAAATGAATTTCACTAAATTCAAACTGAAATTTATTTTCAAACCAGTGCTTTTAATTTTAAATTCTGCAGATTAGATTCACTTCCTGTCCCACAGACACCGTCGTACCTTCTGCACGTTGCTGGCGATCCTCTCCGCCTCCTCTGCTTTGTCTTTAGCATCTCGAGCGTCGGCGGCGGCGTTCCCGAGCGAGGCCTCGGCCTGCCGCGTCTTCTCGTTGGCGGCCATGATGGTGGCGTTGATGGAGGGGATCTTCTTCATGGCGTCCTCTGCAGCCGTCTTGTTGTCGTTGACCCGCCGGTCGAAGTCTGGAGAAGGAATCGGAACTGGTTTACGAGACAGTCTGAGCTGAGCCTGGGGTTTTGGACTCAGAACCAGGTCTGGTACCTCGCAGGTCGTCCAGGATGGTCTCGGCCTCTCTGAACGTGGACTGGCCCTTCTTGGCGGCCTCCTCAGCCAGGGCCTTGGCGGCGTCGGCTCGGGCCAGCAGCTGGTCGGCGGTCTGTCAGGAGAACAACAGGAGGGTTAAAGGGTCTGGGTCCTGGACCAGGACAGGGGTTCTGGAAACCCGGCTCAGACCTGCTGCTCGCTCTTGCCCTTCTCCAGCAGCTTGCGGACCTCCAGCTCTTTGGGCCTCAGGTCGTCCCGCAGCTCGTTGTACTCCTTCTCCATCTTGTCGATCAGCTGGTCCAGGTCCGACGCCTCCTTCTTGATCTTGTTGGCCTCCTCCTGAGGAGACAGGTCACCTGTCAGCTTTAACCTCTACAGAGAGCGCAGGTCACCTGACCGCTAAGCTCCGCCCACCTCCAGGGGCGTTGTGTCGACCGGCGGGAGGCTGGTCAGGTTAGCGTAGATCTTCAGAGCCTGGTTTCCAGCCTCCTCGGCCTCGGCCTGGACCTGGTTCGCCTGTTTCTCCAAATCCTTGGCGAGCTTCTTGGCCTCGTCGTACCTGGACAGGAAGTGAGACGAGCGAGGACAGGTGGTCAGGAAGTCTGTCCTCAAAAGTTCTTACCTTTCATGTCAAAAAAAAAAAAGTCCAAACAGGAAGCTGCCTCTGGCGCCATCTTGTGGCTACAGACGGAAGTTTCTGATGATTTTATTCTTCCAGAGGAGGACAAACAGGCCCCGCCTACCCTGGTTCTGATCCTGGGTTCTGACCCAAACCAGACTGAGACTCACTTCCTGTTGAGCAGGTCGATCTCGCCGCTCGTCCTGCCCTCTCCCTCCAGGGTCTTCAGCAGCAGGTTGTACGCTCGGGTCGACGTGTCGTTGGCGTCTTTGGCGATCTTCTCGATCTGGTCGGCGTCCATCTTGTGTCTGCAGAGAAACGGCGTTTTCAAAGCTTTATTTTAGGTCATCGGGGTCAGCTGCAGCGGTCAGGGGGCGGAGCCTTACTTGTCGGCGAGCCGGCGGGCCTCCTGGGCGAGCAGCGTCATGTTGTTTGGCTCTCCGGTGCCGGTGGGCGGTTTGATGTCCTGCGGGATGAGATGGGCTCAGTTAGCACATAGATATATATTATAT